TAGCGCATGCCTGTAATCCAGCTGCTCAGGAGGCTGAGACAGGAGGATCATGAGTTAAAACCAGCTTCAGCAAAAGCAAGATGCTAAGCAACTCAGTGAAACCCTGTCTCTAAATAAAATACCAAAAAAAAAAAAAAAATAGGGCTTGGGATGTGGCTCAGTGGTTGAGTGCCCCTGAGTCCAATCTCCAGTACCCAAAAAAACAAAAACAAAACAAAAAAATTATTTTGATTTAGAGAAGGAAAAGACTGTGTAAGGATGGCAGAACTGTCTGAGTATAACTCAGTTTATAATGGTGACATAACCACAATAAAATAAACTAAATATTCATTTACCCTGAAAAGGAATTAAAACCATATTGGAAGGATAAGGGGACTTCAGCTGGGCATATGTGGGGTTGAGGTAGGTGATAAAAGATAGTTTAAACTATACCTTTCACAATAGGAAGTGAATAAGTAATGATTAAAGCCAAAAATTCACAATAAGCATTATTAGTATGTTATTTAAATGTACAAAATATAATGGGCTGGGGTTATAGCTCAGTAGTAGAGTGCTTGCTTAGCATGTGCAAAGCCTTCAGTCCTGTCCCCCATAACATCTCCATGAAAAGAAAGATGTACAGATTTTAAATACCAAAAGAAGCAAACTAAAAGAGGTAAAGACGGTTATCTTTACATTTGGAAGATGAGGGTCAGGATATCAGGAATAGAACTTTTAGAACTTTTTATAATATTTCTTTTACAGCTATTTTGAATTATGCCCAGGTTTAAGTGACCCAGACTTGTAAGTTTTTAATTAAAAAATTCAGAAACTCCGGCAAAGAACAAAGTAAAGATTACCTGGGGGCTGGAGTTGTGGCTCAGTGGTAGAGCCCTTGCCTAGTGTGGGTGGGGCACTGGGTTTGATCCTCAGCACCACATAAAAAAATAAAAATAAAGTTATATTAAAAAAAAGATTACCTGGGAACCCATCTCATAGTGGTAGAAATTTTATAAAATACATTGAAATTTTATTACAGTTCCTAGGTTATTTTATGCATACTCATAGACATGCATGCAAGTGTATGGAGTCTTGCCAAAATACAGTCACACTACAATACTATTTTCTTTTCTTTTTTCTTTTTTTTAAGAGAGAGAGAGGGGGGGAGAGGGAGGGAGGGAAAGAATTTTCAATATTCATTTATCTTTTTTTTAGTTTTCGGGGGACACAATATCTTTGTTTGTATGTGGTGCTGTGGATCTAACCTGGGCTGCACGCATGCCAGGCGAGTGCACCACCGCTTGAGCCACATCCCCAGCCCTACAATACTATTTTCAAATCTGCCATCTTCCCTGAGAAGTATGTAGTGATCATTTTCCTGTGACATTAAGAAAGAATTTGCCAGGTGTGGTGGCTCACGCCTGTAATCTCAGCAGCTTGGGAGGCTGAGGCAGAGTTCAACGCCAAACTCAGCAATGGTGAGGTGCTAAGCAACTCAGTGAGACCCTGTCTCTAAATAAAACACAAAATAGGACTGGGGATGTAGCTCAGTAGTTGAGTTCAATCCCCAGTACAAAAAAAAAAAAATTACCTTCATGATTAATGGGTATTTCATTTCCACTGAGAGAATACATAATAATTTAACATTCTTGAAAAACATTTAGCTTTTTGGTCTCATTATAAACAATTTCTCTCTGTACACCATTTCATTCTTTGTGTCAGACCAAGAAGTACCATCTATTTTTCAGATTTGTTAAATCATTTCATTTAATATGTGTCTCCTTACTTATTAGTAGGTTTTAACTAATATATAGATGAGTTTATTTTTTACTTCCTAAAAAATAATTCATGCTCAGTGTTCACAGATTTACTTGTATCCTGTTCTGGGTACCAAGGAAAACTGGATAATAATTGAGATCATGCAGGCATTATTGATGATCCCCAATAGGAAAATAGTGAGCAGTGAACTCTGAGGATTCTGGGTTAGTTAAGCCTAGGGAAAGGGACCAGTGGACAGCTGCAGTTTTGTCGTGATAAAGGCTCTCCACATGGTCTGCACAGGTGGTTCTTGAAATGTGGCATCTGGACCAGCAGCATCAGCATCACCTGAAAACTTTTTAGAAATGCATATTCAGAAGGGCAATCCCAAATCTCCTGAATACCAAACTCTGAGAGTAAAGTTCAACAAGTCTTTTTTTTAAAAAAAAATTTGTTCAATTTAGATATATATGACAATAGAGTGTATTTTGAATATAGTATACATATATGGAGTGTAACTTACTCTAATTAGGATCCCATTCTTGAGGTTGAACTTGATGTGGAATTTCCCTGGTCACGTATTCACATATGAAAATTATGTCTAGTTTATTCCATTGTTTTTCTTATTCCTGTCTCCCTTTGTCTAATACTTCATTCCCCTTTGTCTAATCCATTGAACTTCTATTCTCCCCCCACCTAAGTGTTAGCATCCACAAATAAGAAAGAACATTTGACCTTTGCTTTTTTTGGAATTGGCTTATTTCACTTAGTGGATAGTCTTCAGATCCTTCTATTTATTAGCAAAGGTCATAAAGTCATTCTTTTTATGGCTAAGTAATATTCCATTGTGTAGATATAACCACATTTTCTTCATCCATTCATCTATTGAAGGGTACTAGGGTGGTTCCATTGCTTAGCTATTGTGAGTTGAGATACTATAAACATTAATGTGGCTACAACACTGTAGTATGCTGATTTTAAGTCCTTTGGATATATACCAAGGAGTGGTATAACCAGGTCAAATGTTGGTTGCATTCCTAGTTTTCTGAGGAATCTCCATACTCAGCAGTCTCTTTAACAAGTCCTCTAGTTGATTCTGATATGCACTTAAGTTTGGTTGCCAAATTTTGCTGCCCATTATAACCTTCAAAGGGGATTTTATAAAAACCTGTGGAGGTATTTTAAAATCCTGATTTCCAGGTCATGTACTATACTGATTTAATCAGAATGTTTCAGATGGGAGTCAGTATATTTTAAAGATCTCCAGGTTATCCAATTTACAGAAATGCTTGGGAAATTTTTGTCTATGTTATTTTCTATCTCTAAGTTTGTGGAGGTCAAACAGATTTCTAAATCCAAGAAGGAAGTTCTGGATTAGAAAGTGTAGACTGCATTTAACTAAGAAAGCGAGAATGGAGGGAGGAGGATCTGCTCAAGACTCTGTGCAGTGCATTGTCAGGTCCTCATCCCTGGGTGTGGCATAGAGACTACCTGGTAGCCCTCCTGTTGAAGTGTCTGAGCATGTGCTTTGATTCAGAAGAGTCTGCTCTGTGTCTATTCCTTGTACAGCATATTTCCCTATAGTTTTGGGAAGAGTTCTTAATTACCTCTTACTTTCATGACCTGTCTGTGTGTTGGGAGCCACAGTTGTATGTAGGGATGGGAAAATGGTATATATGATTTTTAAATTTTGGAAACTGTTCTTATGACCTTACATTGTTCCTATAGCTCCGGCCTCTGTGGACTCTGCTTCTTCAATAAATGAACCTTGAGGAAAACTGACCATTTCTTGCAATTCTAAAATCATGGCTCATGTAAGTTGGTTTTTCTATTTGAAATTCCATCTTTATTTTTCCAGGGTATGTGAACATTTTTATTGTTATTCTGAAACTTCTTAAACAGCCCCATCCAATAACTGCTCCCTAGTGAGGGATGGAGCCCAACATCTCAGGTACCTCCTGTATACTCCTCTCTTTTCCACTTTGTCCACCTGTGCATTGACCAAATCATTCAGCATCTCCTTTGTACTTGGTCTCTGTCTAGAGCAGGTGAAGCAGAAGTGAATTCCCTGGGTTGGGGGGTGGTATTTGATCTGAGGCTTTTAGGGTCAGAGAACACTGATCCTAAGAACACTGCCCAAAAGAATTATAATGTGAGCTATATATGTAAGTTTAAATTTTCTCTTTTTTAAAAATCTTTTTTAAAAAATATTTATTTTTTAGTTGTAGTTGGACACAGTACTTTTATTTTATTAATTTATTTTTATGTGGTGCTGAGGACTGAACCCAGGGCTTCACACATGCTAGGTGAGCACTCTACCACTGAGCCACAACCCCAGACCATAAGTTGAAATTTTCTAGTAGTCACATTCTAAACATAAAGAATGATATAAAAGGCAGGTATATAATTTAAATATCTTAGTATTTATATTAAAAAACAGGTGCAGTTAATTTTAATATTTTATTTACCCAGGATAGCCAAAATATTATCATTTCAAAGTATAATTAATATAAAAATTGAGATATTTTACATTCTTTTTTTTCTTTCTAAAGTCATTACTATGTGGTATGTATTTTGCATATACAGTACACCTGAATTTGGACTACTCATAATTTAATTGCTCAGCAACCACATTTCTAAGCTAGGATGTTTGATATTGCAACTTTAGAATTTTGTATAATGTAAATTCAAAATATCATTTAATATATTTAAAAGTATAGAAATATCTAAATACAACTATTATTAAGCCTAACATCAAAAAATTGACTACTGTATGCTAAATTTTAAGTTCAATAAATGATTTGTTGTAATAAGAAAA